GGGCCAGGGATTGGGCATCATGGCTGGCACAGGGGGACCGGGATGGGGACTGAGACCAGGAATCAGGATTGGGACCCAGGATTAGGACAGGGATTGATACTGGGACCAGGGACCAGGGATCAGGATAGGGACCTAGAATCAGGACTGGGACAGGGGGATCAGGACAGGGACCGAGATCCTGGGACAGGGACCGGGGCTGGAATTGGGTCAGGAACCAGGACAAGGACCCAGGATCATGGACCAGAGGCTGGAGATGAGGGACAGGGACAAGGGACAGGGACAGGGACAGGGACTGGGGCTGGGGACAGAGACTGGGACTCCCGTGGGTCCACGTGGGTGATGCTGTGGGTCCTGCCAGGGCCACCATGGGACCACGTGGGCAAGGCTATGGGTGCCACTGGTGACTCCACAGCTGGTGCTTTGGGTGCTGAGGCCACGTGGGTGCCCTGCGACTGCAGTGGGACTGTGCGGGCAAGGTGGCGGGTGCTGAGTGGGTGCTGGATAAGTACTGACGTGTGTCCCCATGCAGGCCCGGCACGGGGAGCACCCATGGAGCTGCTGGGGGGACCGGAGCTGGCCGACCTGGTGGCATCACTGCCCGGCTTCCTGCTGGCCGTCACCCGCGAGGGGAAGCTGGTCGGCGTCACCGACAATGTCGCGCAGCACCTGGGGCACTCCATGGTAGGCACCTGCATGCAGGGACAAGGTTGGGTGCAGGGTGCTGTCCCCCTTGGGTGCAGGTGGCTCTGGTGCTGCAGGATGATGGGTGTTGGGGGGTGCTGGATGCCAGGGGAAGGCGCTGGGTGCTGGGTGCTGATCCTCCCGCCTCCCCCCCACGCAGGTAGACCTGGTGGCACAGGGTGACAGCATTTACGACCTGCTGGATCCCGCCGACCACCCCCTGGTGCGACATCAGCTCACTCTGCCCGGGCCCCCCCAGGCAGGTGGGTGGGGGCTCCGAGGGGGTGGGGCCGATGGGGAGGGGCTTGGTGGGGCGGGGGCAGAGGGAGGGAGGGATGGGTGGATGGAGGGAGGGATGAATGAGCGGGAGGAAGGACAGAGGGATGGAGGGATGGAGGGATGGAAGGAGGGAAGGATGGAGGGATGGTGGAAGGACAAAGGGATGGATGGATGGAAGGATGGAGGAAGGGAGGGAAGGACGGAAGGCCAGAGGGTTGGAAGGAGGGATGGACAGAAGGATGGAGGGAAGGACAGAGGGAAGGAAGGACAGAGGGTTAGAAGGAAGGATGGAGGGATGGATGGAAGGATGGAAGGACAGAGGGTGGGTAGGATGGAGTATTGGAAGGGTGGCTGGAGGGGTGGAAGGACAGAGGGATGGGTGGAGAGAGGGACAGAAAGATGGAGGGAAGGAAGCATGGCGGAAGAGGATAGATGGAAGGACAGAAGGTTGGAAGGACAGAGGGACAGAGGGATGGAAGGACAGAGGGACAGAGGGATGGAAGGACAGAGGGACGGAGAGATGGATGGAAGGGGGAGGGAGGGAAGGAAGAATGGAAGAAAAGACGGAGGGATGGAAGGATGAGGGATGGAGGGATGGATGGAAGGAAGGATGGAGAGATGGACGGAGGGATGGACAGAGGCCGGAGGGACCAACAGAGGACCCCTTCCCGCAGAGCGCCTCTTCCGCTGCCGTTTCACCACCTCGCGGGCCTCGCGCCGTCCCAGTGCCGGGCGGAAGCTGGTGCTGTTGCGGGGCCGGTTCCAGGCCCCCCCTGGCCCCCCCGGGGCTTCCCCAGGACTTTTCGTCGCCTTCTGTGCCCCCCTGGACCCCCCACCTTGGCCCTGCCCCGACTGCCTGCTGCTGCCTGCGTTCCAGAGCCGCCATGCCCGTGACCTTGCCCTGCTCGACATCTCCGACAGGTGAGGGGCCCGGTGTCCAGGGGGGACCCAGGTGTCCGGGAGGGGACCAAGCACTCACGAGGGAACCGAGGCATCAGGGTGGACACAGGTATCTAGGAGGGGACCCAGACATCTGGATGGGACACAGGCATGGGTGGGCGAGGGACCCAGACGTGCTGTCCCACAGCGTCCTGATCCACCTGGGCTACGGGCGTGGGGAGCTCCTGGGTCGCTCCTGGTACCGGCTCCTGCACCCCGAGGACCTTGGCCACGTCGCTCGCCAGCACCTCCGCCTCGGTGAGTGTCCCCTCAGCTGTCCCCAGGGTCCCCTGGGGTCTCCCTGTCCCCCCCCAGCTGTCCCTCGGGATCCCTGGGGTCTTCCTGCCCCCTGGCTGTCCTCTGGGTCCCTGCATTCCCAAGGGTGTCCTCCATCACCCTGGTTGTTCCCTGGGTTCCCTGCTGTCACTCTGCCCCCCCCCCCCGCAACATCCTTAGTGTCCCACACATCCCCTGGAGTCACCTTGTCTCCTGTCAGGTGTCCTCCATGCCCCAGTTGACCCCCTGTCCCCGTTGACCCCCTGTCCCAATTGACATACCCATGTCCCCATCCCTTCCAATCACCCCTGTCCCCATGGACACCCCCATGTCCCCATCCACCCCAACCGACCTCGTTGACATCCCCATGTCCCCAACTCCCCCAATCACTCCCATCCTGTTGACATCCCCATGTCCCCATTCCCCCAACCGTCCCCTGCCCCCTGGCCCTCACCCCCCCGTCCCTGCTGATGTCCCCTTGTCCCCGCAGCAGGAGCAGGGGCAGAGGCGCGGGGGGAGCTGGTGACGCGGCTGCAACGCAAGGACGGCCTGGGCTGGACGTGGGTCTACGCCCGACTGCGCCCTGAGGGCCCGGCCCTGCTCGCCCACAACTTTGTCATCAGGTGAGTGGACACAGGCGTCCGGGTAGCCCCATCACCCCCCCAAGGGACCCAGACATCCGGGAGGTCCCATCAGCCCCAGGGGACCCAGGTGTCCCATCATCCCTGAGGGAAGCCCAATGTCTGGGTACCTTCCACCCCACATGGCACCCATGGGTCCCGGCACCCTCCGCTCCCCTCAGGGGGACCCAGGTGTCCGGGCTTAGCCCAGGCCCCCCCATAACCCCCTGTCTTTCCTGCAGTGAGGCTGAAGCCTGGTGCCTGCGGCAGCAGCTGGCAGCTGAGGCCCCCCCGGGCCCCCCCGAGCCCTTCGGCCCAAGCCTTGACTTCCCTGGTGCTGCCATCGGAGCTGGTGGGGACCTTGGTGTTGGCGCTGACCCCAGCATTGGCCTCAGTGTTGGCCCCGGCATTGGATCCAGCGTTGACCTTGGTGTCGGATCTGGGCTTGGAGATGACATTGGAGCTAATGTTGGCGTCAACGTTGGCCTTGGCCTTGGGGTCAACGTTGGATGTGGCCTCGGAGCTGATGTTGGACATGGTCTTGGAGCTGGCCTTGGGGCCACTGTTGACCCTGCTGTCGGAGCTGGTGTTGGACCTGGTCTTGGAGCCAACATGGGACCTGGTCTTGATGCCAACATGGGACCTGCTCTCGGAGCTGCCATCGGACATGGTCTTGGAGGCAACGTTGGGGCCAACATTGACCCTGGTCTTGGAGCCGGCGTTGGAGCAAATGTTGGACGTGGCCTTGGAGATGGTGTTGGACACGGTCTTGGCTCTGATGTCAGCGCTGGAGTTGGCATTGGCGTGGGAGCTGGCATCAGAGTCGACGTTGGCCTCGGTGTGGCAGCTGGCACCGGCGCCGATGTTGGCCCCAACCTTGGGGCTGATATTGGAGCTGCTCTTGGAGCTGGCACCGGAGATGATATTGGAGCTGGTCTCCAAGCCAATGGTGGAGCGGACACTGGCCCCAGTCTCGGAGCCGGCGTTGCGCTCAGTGTCGGGGCCAACATTGGGCCTGGTCTTGGTGGCGGTGTCAGAGCCAGTGTTGGGCTCGGCATTGGGGCTGTTGGTCCTGCTCTTCCATCTGATGTCGGCGCTGGCGTGGGACTCACCGTCGGTGCCAGCGTTGGAGCCAATATAGGTGCTGGAGTCAGCGCTGGTGTTGGACTTGGCCTTGGAGCCAATATTGGAGCCAACGTTGGCTCCAGTCTTGGATCCACTGTTGGACTTGGCGTTGGAGCTGCTCTTGGAGCCAATGTTGGCTCTGCTCTTTCATCTGGTGTTGGACCTGGCATTGGACTTGCCGTTGGTGCTGCTGTTGGAGCCAACGTTGGCTCTGGTCTCGGATCCAGTGTTGGACTTGCCGTTGGAGCCGGTGTTGGAGCCAACGTTGGCCCTTCTCTCGGATCCAGTGTTGGACTTGCCGTTGGAGCCGGTGTTGGAGCCAACGTTGGCCCTTCTCTTGGATCCGGTGTTGGACTTGCCATTGGAGCTGGAGTTGGAGCCAATGTTGGTGCTGCTCTCGGATCCAACGTTGATGTTGGCGTTGGACTTGGTGTTGGAGCCAACGCTGGCACTGCTCTTACATCGGATGTTGGATCGGGTGTTGGACTTGGCATTGGAGCTGCTATTGGAGCCAACATGGGTGCTGGCGTTGGCTCTGCTCTTGGATCCAGTGTTGGACTTGGCCTCGGAGCCAATGTTGGCTCCAACATTGGCTCCGCTCCTGGATCTGATGTTGTTGCCGGCGTTGGACTTGCAGTTGGAGCTGGCGTTGGAGGCAGCGGTGGCTCCGGTCTTGGATCTGCCCTTGGATTTGCTGTTGGAGCTGCGCTCGGAGCCAACGTTGGCTCTGGGCTTGGACCTGATGTTGGCACTACTGTTGGACTCAGCCTTGGAGCCAACATTGGAGCCAACGTTGACTCTGCTCTTGGAACCAGTATTGACACCAGCATTGGACTCGGTGCTGGAGCCAACGTTGGATCCGGTGTTGTACTTGGTGCTGGAGCTGCCGTTGGAGCCAACGCTGGCTCTGCTCTTGGATCCACCATTGGCCTTGGCCTTGGAGCCAGTGTTGACCCTGCTCTTGGATCTGGTGTTGGCCTCGGTGTTGGAGCTGCCATCGGAGCCAACGTCGGCACCGCCCTTGGCACCGGACTTGGCCTTGGAGCCAACCTCGCTGCCGGTGTTGGCTCCTCCCTGGGCCCCACCATCGGTCCTACCCTCGGAGCTGTCGGCGGATCCAATGCCGGCATTTGCTTGACGC